TCTTTTAAACTAATAATATATGAATATAAGGACATGAAGAGCAGGATGTTGTGCGTGAATGTGAGAATATATATATGAATGCATAAATATATATATATGTATTCACGTGTAATATTTTTCACGTGAGTTTTTTTTTGAATTGAAAACTCAATTCTAAAATTCACACGGGATGCTAGATTTGCATCACACATATGAAAGACCCCGGATACCCCCCTTACTAATTTTTAAAATATTGCGAAAAATTTTTCGCAAATATATGTTCTCACATCGTGAAATATATATTCTCACATTCACGCACAACATCCTGCGAACGGCTCTTCATGTCCTTATATTCATATATTATTAGTTTAAAAGACTTATAGAGCCTAAGAGTAATCTCTATTAATCACTAATTGCTAGTATAGAAAGTAAAGTGGTATAGAAAGAAAGTAAGTGAAGCACGGGCATTCCTAGAATTGACTGGTCAATGCGAAACTAAGTGTCTTGGTCAAAGCCCAAATGGGCATTTGAGACGTATACAATATTTTGTTTGTATTATATATTATTGTATACGTGTGGGCGGGCACTTCCTCTTGAAAACCTAACCTAATAAATCTATTCTATTTTAATATGTCACTGCGATAGTAGCGTACATTGAAAAATACGCTATAAAAATTATTTTGGGCTTTGATCAAGATGCTTGATTGTTCCGCGCATTGACCAGTCAATCCTAAGAACATTTATGCTTCGGGCTTTGTTTATTTTTTTATTAGTTATATTACTATTTTATAACAAGTAAAAAAATAATTATTTAACACTTTTATTAACAATTACTTAACTTATATCCCAGTTATATAACATTTAGTAATTTATATCAAGGCTCTGCACAACTGACGGCCCAGTAGCCACGCTTTGTTATCACGTTTATTCCACTTCCTTCATTTGTAGCGTGGAGGTTTCCCTCAATCTTGCTTAAAGCGTTGGCGAGGCAGCTGCCGGAAGATGATAAGATATATGTTATACACACTATACACATGAAATGGAGCGGCGTGTATGTATGTACGTAGTAGAGTGGTAGGCTCGCGATCAATTGTAGTGATGTCAGAAATATCGCAGCGTTACTACTTGGCTAATCGACTCGCTTGAGTTGTGCAGATTTAATCTATATAATTGTTATATAATCTTTCAGTTAGTACTGCAACGGTAATATAACATTTTAGTAACATGTTATACTCAAATTATATAACTGTAATTTAGTATGAGTAGGAAATTACAACTAACGTGAATGTTACATGTAACGAACACGTTATATTACTTAATACTTTCCGTTTCATTACGGCAATGTTACGTTTATGTATCTGTAATTGTTAGGAACAAACATAAAAATTACGTTAAGAAAAATTTATACACACACTTCAGTGTTAGTTGAACATTGTAACAACACCGTCATGTGTTCAATTAAAGCTCTGTCCAAATTTTTAATAATGAAACTATTTCAAGTGTCTTACATCTGAAATGCTTCATATAAAGTTGCAAACCAATTACGTAACCATTATGAAAAATACCGAGCTCCAAGACAGTATTATTGGGTGTGTTCCGTTTGACCACAGTACGATTCGACACCAAATTATTTGACACCATACGATTCAACACGGTACTATTGGACACAACACAAGTGACAAACAATGTGCATCGTGACAATTAACCCTCAATCTCCGATCATGGGTCGTTTTTGTCCGGGCCAAAATTACTTTCTGACATTTCTAGAAAACCTAAGCAGGTAGCGACATCTATTAGGTATGTAAAAAAAGTTTATGATAGGGCTAACCTGTATGCGCAAGAACGATGTGCTGCGTCAGTTCTACTCCAAATGCCAAACAATTAAAATCTGCTGCGGACGTTTTTGACCCATGATCGGAGATTTTGTAAGTAAAAATGACTTTTTGTCAAAACGTGATTTTTGTTAAATTTTTGAATTTCAAGTGAGTTTAGACGTTTTTGTAAAGTTTCAGGATTCAGAATAAAGAATTATAACTACTAAGAGCTTAAAAAGTTTTTTGTGCTCACTGTGTTCTCGTGTTCTTCAAGAATATTTTGCAGGAAATACTTCAGAAGAATCCGACAATATAATTGAGGATACAAAAAACTTGGAAAACAAATATATTTTTTTTATTTTATGCATTATTTCCTTTCTTTTATTACATTTAAGCGTCAAAAATAGCACATTTTTAAATTACAAAATAGATATTTATTTTAATCTGACGCTATTGTACTATTTTTTTCTTAAAGTACATTTTTTCCTTTTTAAGAAACCATGATACTTTTTTTTAACAAATTTTTTATTTACTCTAGAGTGTTTTGAAAAATTTTTTTGTTTGTTTGTTTCTTGTTATATTTGTTAAAAAACGTAAATTAAAACTTTGTGTTTCAATAAATTTAACAATTGTTTCTTAAAATAGAATGTTTGAAGTATATACACAAATTTTTTCAGATTGTTTTACACATATTTAATATTTTTCAAAGACCTAAGACGAAAACAACCCATGATCGGAGAATTAAGGTGTTAAAAAAAAACATCGGGGATTGAGGATTAATGATAATATTAACACAAGTTAGGTTGTGACCGGACGGATTATTGAATATGTTAGTAAATTACGGTCGTCACTAGTTTTAACCGCCAAACTAAAAGAAACTAACTTGTTTGTTTCTGTTTTAGATGCTGCTGCGGACCCAGGGCTTCAGAAGTTGTACCTTCAAAAATTGATCGACCAGCCTTGTTAGGATCTTCACCAGAAATTGTTGATCAGGTAAGTAAAAATTTAACACTGTCACTTTTCTTAAAACGTATAAAACGTTTATTAACTTGATATTTTTTTCAAATACAATATATATGTGAGTATGATTCGTTGTTTTTAGCTTGCGTATAGACAAGATGTGCTCGCTCTGTCATGGCTCGGATTAGACTGACTAGAAAAGCGCTCGGCTTTGCTACGAAGCCTCGTTTCTCCCACTAATTGATTCCGTGCTTGCGCACATACCAACTGGCATGAACCGGTTACTTGTTGCGGGAATTCCCTGGAGATGGTTTCCCATGTTCACCGGGACTTCCTTGCAAACTACGGTTCACTTTTCATCATTTTTACTTTTTTTAAATGTTTGTCATTAAAGTTTGATACGACCTAATTATTGAAATCTTTTTCACAGGTTTGCCCAACATCAGGAAAACTTCACGTGTGAATATCAAACACTTTTTGTAATTATTTAAAATGTGTTATAAATTTATCATTTTTCCCAAACTTGCCTACATGTCTTTTCTTTTTGTTGCAAGGAGGTTCCAGCTTTGTGGAGACATCCCTAGATAAGTATTTACTCACTTATTGCAATTTATTCCGAAATATTTAAGTTTGTAAGTAACAACTAAATTAGCCGGATTGTTCAAAATTTTGATTGGATAGGTTCCCGCTCAATTAACAGAGTCCAGTAGTCTTGTCAACTTATCGCTAATTTTTTTTATTTTCAGGTACGGACAAACTTTCAGGAGAACGAGATCGAAAGTAAGGCCTTGCTCAATACTTGCCCCAAAACTAACTTTTTTCAGATTTGTTCCTCTCTCGTGATCATCTACCCGTAACTTCAAGGTAAATAACAATTCTTAATATTTATATATATATATATATATACTTAACTTTATTATGTTGACCTTGTTCCTCATCTTTCAAGTGCACACACACAGTTGCTGGCGGCTGAAAACCTTTGCAGCGTGTTACCACGGACTTACTACGTTCAGGTAATGTATAATTTTAAACATTTCTAATTGTTGTTAGTTCTTTCAGAATAACTTTTTCTGTGAATCAGTAACGTGAATACCGAAGATGAGCAAAAATTCGACTAGTTTTTATTCAATCTTTAAATCGCGATATTAAATGTCATTTTGGCGATGTCCTTATTATGCGGGAACACCGAATAAAATAAAATAAAATAAACTCAACATCTTTGATTCGAATAATGCAACTGAAATTCAAACTTGCATTGTAACTAAAACTTTGATTAAATACGGTTATATGTGATTATATTAGTATATATATGTATGTTTGAATATACCGACACAAAAGTATTTTCAATCCAAGTTACATAAAATAAAATTAACTAAAATAAAAGTCTTTACGATTTTCTTATGACGTTTCTACATGAAACCCTAGCGACAAAATCCTGATTTCTTTGACTTTCTTTTTAACGCTTTGCTGCTATAACGTTTCAATTTCCTTGTGTGTGTTTACTCTGTCTTAAAATTTTTTTCTAATTCCGCCAAACGGTTGGCTGTCTGACTAAGTATTCGCTCTAGGCTTTTGTTTTCCTCTCGAAGATGGACATCCAACTCAGCCGACAATACCTCCTCAAGGTTAGGTTAGGTTAGGTTAGATTTTTTTGGAGAAGGAGTGCTTTATCCCTCCCTCATACGTGTACAATAATGTGTAATATAAACAAAATATTTACTTATGAAAAGTACACGATATCGGAAAATGTACTGTGTCCAATCGTACCGTGTCGAATAATTCGATGTCGAATAATTTGATGTCAAATCGTACAGTGGTCAATAGAGTATCATCCAAGTATATTTTTTTATTATAGATAAGATTAATTAGTCATCTATTTATTTAACAGCCTTTGTTATTGTCTCTCAGGTCGGTTCTGCATTTCAGACTTGTAACATCTTAATCGACTTGTAATTAATTGTAACATGTGATCATAGTTTATATTTGTACACACTCTAACAGTGTTGTTTAAGGTAGACTTTTTATTGCTAATTGCTTATACATAAAATAAATTAGTACACGGAACTTAAAAAGCGTGACACTTGTGTCAAGTATAGTAATGCCGGATATAACCGGTTTTGGTCACTGTGGATCATTTCGTAGATGTCAGATATAATCGGCATTAGCTACCGTGGATCAATTTGTGGATGCCAGATATAGCGAGGGGCTAGTCGCGAAAAGATTAAATATTACTTAAAATCTTACTTATTATATTTGTATAACTAACTTGTAAATGCTGAGATGATGACGTATGTAAGTTGACATTACTGTCTTTTTAGTTGGCAAAGCAAGTGTCGGTTTTAAATGTCTAGCTATTTTTTTTATTATTAGTTTGTGAAGACGATTTTCAAAAATTTCAAATTGAGCGCATGTTTGCAAGAATAATCCGAAAACTAAAGTTTCCGTACCAATATTTATGATAGTAACAAATATCACAGCTATGATCTGCTGCAAGGACGTGAGAAAAAATATAATAAATTTGTTAGAATCATATGGCAGCCATACTCTATAAGGCAACTGTCCTTGCATAAAGTTTATTACTGATCTCACCGTGACACCTGTAACGGAACATGTCGCCAAAAATGAATATTTTATTGAACATGACCTGTAAATATATAATTAAGATTATGTTTACATACTTTATTGAGTATATCAGAATTTTGTATTTTGGAAACTTTAAATACTTATATTAAAAAGCAATCTTAAATATATACTCACTTGATAAATTTATCAAATTTTTTTTGTATTGCTTTTTCATCCTCGTTTTGAGGTTTATATGGTTCTTTCAACAATGCTTCTATTAACCTAATAATTGCTTTTCTACGTATAACAACAATGGTTCCTTTGAAACACACCGCAACAATTGTTGGAAACATCAAGGCATTGGTTGCAAAATCATCAATATTATTGACAACAAAAATGATATCCAAAAGTTGTGTTATCATTAAGAAGTATATCAAAATTAATATAACAGAAGTAAATATGTTATATAGCACTTTAGTGCTAGTCGAGGACCATTCAAGTGGCCGCCATACGCCACCAAAGGTGTATATTAAAAAATTTAATGAAAGTATTTGCATGTTTGTAAATTTAAAAACACAACTTATTCAGACGTTCCATTAAAAATATATAACATACTTAGAGAAAATTAACAGTAATACGAAATACAGTATATTTTATTTAGATCGAGAAGATACTACAATGAAAATTCATAAACAAAACTTATATGTTATATTTAGCATCCAATTGTCTGACTAACAATTTTATCCATCTAACATACATAGATTGCGATTTATGATAGTGTATAGATTGAGTATTAGGTAACTTTATTTCATTGTAATATGTACGTATAAATGCAAATAAAACTGACACAAGAATCTAAGAACTGCACTCCTCTTAAACAATATTGTGATCTCATATATATCCATTTCAATGAAATTTATATTTTAAGTAACTATTCAACTATGTACACACACGATTATATACATTACTTAATTCTTAAGCTATTAATCATGAACATTAAAATGAAATCTATTATACTTTATTGAGATATAGTCAATTATAGTGCATAGCAGACGTTTACGACGAGTATTAATAATAAATATTGTAGAAGCACATCTGTAGTATATTGTTTGTAGTATATTGTTTGCTTTGCATATTGTCGTACTTACATTAGATATATAAATGTTTCTTTACTTTTATGTTATACTGGAAAGAATTCAGTAACTACAATTATATTTTCCATAAGAGAAATATTAACTCGTTACACAAGAAAGCAAATAAAATTATCATGCTTTCCTCACTTGTTATATTATTTAGTAGTATGAAATAATGTTGCAAGTATAGAAAGGAATATAGAAAGGAGCATAGAAAGAGATATAGAATTGATCTTCAAGTTTCTTTAACGGTCTATACACATATATTGGTAAGTAATAGAGTGTGATTCGCGAGTATTGACAATACGAACTCTGGCATTTATTGTGTAGTATCTAATATACTTATAAGAAAAGCAGTACTTTTAGTTTTTTTACAAAACTAATAGACCTATATTATACAATAATTTAGTGCTAGACCTATATAATAATTTTTTGTCTATTCTTTTTTTCGAAGTTTTCAAAATCACTTTCAATTTTTTATAAATAAACCTATATTTTTTAAATAATATTTTAAGACTCGTGAAAATTTCAATACGAATATAAGGCCGATACGAGCCATTCCCAGGATGTTGAGCGGGAACTTGTACGTGCATACATATATGTATACATCTATAACAAGTATTACTTGTAAAGTTTTTAAAAGTGAGTTTTTTGAATTGAAAATTCAATTCTTAAATTCATACGGGATGCAGGATTTGCAACTCACATATGAAAGACCCCGAATACCCCCCTAACTAATTTTTAAAATAGTGCGAAAAAAACTCCTCGGCCAGGAGTCGAACCTGGAATCTCCGGCTTACCGTGCCATTGCCTTCCTTGTTAAGCCACCGAAGCACTTGGAGTTAATCTCGCAATACATATATATATATATCGAAGAAGATCTGATAATTTGAAAACGCTTTTAATTGCAGCCAGCGTGAGTTAAATAATATTTTAAGGCTCGTGAAAATTTCAATACAAATATAAGAATTATTTTTTACTTACCTCTGTTTTAATGGATATTAAGACAAATTCAACAGGCATCATAACAAATATTTTCTTTCATCTACATCTAAGAAAACATTAAGAAAAAATCTTTTACTTCAAACGGTATTAAAAATAATGTCCATTAGTTGCAATACATTCGCATAGACGATAAATAATTGACTGCTTAGCTCTTTTTACTACATCTGCACTAATACATGAGCATGCATTTACAATTCTCTGTTAGTATATCTGCCTATTTGCTAATGTCGTTCTGGAGCTATAAACTTTTCTTTTCATTATAAACTTTTTTTTTTAATGTATCATAAAAAAAAATCTAATGGTTTAAGATCAGAAGAACGAGTTGGTCAGTTTATTGTATTCTCCACGACCGATCACACGTCCGAATTTTCTATCAAATACTAGCATAATGTACTGAACAACTCTCATGTTGATACCACACATCACGACAGGGATATTTAACAACCGGGGTGTGATGCACCGACGAGTCTCGGAATCTGCAAGCTCTCAGTGCGTGGTGAACATTTATAAATTTTTATGAGTTTTTTTAACTAAAAAAATTTACACGCAAACAAATCAAGAGGCACGGTAGTGCCTCGCGCCAAGTATATGCGCAAACGAAGTGCGCGAGGTACCCCGTGCCTTATTTACGCGAAAATGGCCAAATGGCAATATCGAGATTTTCCGATCTCAACAACGGCTAAACCGATCGAGTTCGG